CCAGCGGCCAGCAGGGGGCAGCATTGGGCCTCCTTCGGATGGAGCCGCGGAGAGGGGAAGTTGTGGGGTGGAGGTCTCCCCTCGCTCAGAGACCTGGTCCTACTTGGCCGTGCTGGGCTTTTGCTCTGCATCGTCTGAAGGACTCCCTGGCGCCTGTTGACCCTTCCTGACCTAAAAGCCCCTTCCTCTGCTTCTCATGGGAGCACACCCATTCCTTGCTCCAGTGGGCCCACTGGGGCGGGGTCTCCACCTCCATGGGACAGAGAAGTCCTAGGCTCAGGACCCTGAGAGCCCCAGCCCAACAGTGCCATGCCGCGGCTCTGACTGCAGCCCAGAACAGGCTCACAGCTCCCCTCCCTGGCTGCTCCTCTGCACCAAGCTGGGGACACAGTCCCTGCCTGCTATGGGACCCCCACCTGTGGGGAGACAAAATGCCCCCAAAGGCTCAAAAGGCCACGCTGCAACACACAGCCAACCTCCTAGTGCTCAGATAGGGAGAAGCCCCCAGGCTTATGGACACACAGCCAGGGGCTAGGGGAGGCAGCGAGCAGGAGTACGGGATGATCAGGGTGGCGGCACTGGGTGTGCCCTGGGGCAGAGAGGGTGGGGTGAGGAATTGCCAGGGGCATTGGCACTGGGTGAGCTCTGGGGCAGCAAGGGTGGGGCTGGGGGTGTTGGCACCAGATGGTCCCTGGGGCAGTGAGGATGGGGTGGGGGATGGCCAGGGGTGTCGGTACAGGGTGGGCCCCAGGGCATCGGTCCCAAGGGTGTGGGCAGTGACTGTGGCACCCCTGCAGTTGGTGAAGAAGCTGGTCCAGTCCGGTGACACCGCCTGCCTCCAGCCCACCCTGGACATCTTCTGCCATGAAGACCGGCAGCTGCTTCAAGGCCACTGCCATGCCAGGGCCCTGGCCATCCTGCGGGCACGGCCAGGCGGGGCCGACGGCAGGGCCCACACCAAGGAGGCCATCGCCTACCTCTCTCTGGCCATCTTTGCTGCAGGTAGGGGCTGCCCACCTGCTCCCAGGGCCCAGTCTTGTGCCGGGCACAGGGGACATGGGGAGCCTTTGCCGTGTTGGACAGTGGGAACACACATGCTCCCCAGGTGCAGGGGCCTCAGGAACACCCACGGGGTGGACAGGGCAGGGGCCACTCGCTGAGGGCATCTCGCCATCAAGGTGGGTGCACCAAGGCCTGAGACCGGCCTCTGAGACCTGGGGCCTGAGCTGGGATCTGAGCTGTGCCCTGCCTAGTGCCTGAGCTGCTGTCCCAGAAGCCTCAGCCTTGAGGGAAAAGGGCCCCTTTCCCAGTTAATGACAAGGAGGCAAGGTCCCTGCTCCCCTCAGCCCTTCCGAGAAACAATGACTGAAGCTCCTCCCGTGCACGCCTGGCCTCCCCACCCGGGGACACGCCTGGCCTCCCCACCCGGGGACACCCAGCGCGGGGATGCTGCCTGCTTCTTGGAGTCAGTGCTGTTTTCTGGTGGGACCAAGTGTGTGGAGGGAAGCAGATGTTTCCCAGGACTCACAGGGATCTCCTGGGGTACAGGGAGTGTGAGAGCCTGGACCTAGATCAGGCTGCCGCGTGGAACCTGGCCATGAACTTAGTGAGCACCCCTCACCCTCCTCTCTCAAAGGAGGATGGCAGAGCAGCCCATGTGGGCTGGAAGGGGGATTCGGAGAGCTCATTCTGGGACAGAACCTGGCACAGAGAGCATGCCCTGCATGCGTTGGTGGGAACGCGCACAGCCCAGAGCAGCCCAGAGCGGCCCGGCACGTTGTCCCATGTCCGTCACCAGACAGACACCTAGAAGGGACACGATAATGATAACCTCTTTGGGGAGGGGTCTCTTATGCCCAGAATCCAGGGGGCTCCTCCTAGACTGCCCCATATCCAAGCCTCACACCTTCCTGCTGCTGCCACTCCAGGTCCCGCCCCAGGACCCTGACCCCCTGCCCTTGCCTGGCCTCAGAGGCAGCTGCAGTGCCCCTTCCCTTGGCAGACCCCCAGCTGTCTCCAATCCTGGCGGGGCTCCTCTTGCCCCGAAGCCAAGGCCCCCAGGTCCGCCGTGACTGTCTCTGTGTGTCTCAGTGCCCAGTGGTGAGCCCTGAAGCTCATGCACCCTCTGCCCTCCCCGACCTGGGCAGGAGGGACACTGGGGGAGGGACCCAGCACAGGCTCATCCCAACCCCATGCCATCTTCCTGCAGGAAGCCAGGCAAGTGAATCCCTCCTTGCCCGAGCCCGCTGCTATGGGTTCCTGGGCCAGAAGAAGACGGCCATGTTCGACTTCAACGCAGTGCTGCGGGCTGAGCCGGAGAACGTGCAGGCACTGTGTGGACGGGCATTGGTGCACCTGGCCCTAGACCAGCTGCAGGTGCCACCCCACTCCCCACCTGGGCCTGGGCAAACGGGTGGGGGACCCAGGGAGTTGCCTCTACCCCAAGGAGAGAGGGAGCCAGGAGGCCGTCCTGAGCAGCAAGATGCCCATCAAAACCTATGTTCCCATCCCCACCTGTACTGCGGCTCATGGGAGCCTGGTCCCCACAAACCCAGTTTCTGGGAGTCCTGCCCTTTCGTCCTCCCAGCCTCAGTCTGCATGGATAGACGTGTGAGCCTTCAGAGGTACTACGGGTCCTCCCCAGCTTAAATAATGCTCAGTGCATGCAGGGGTCCCTCTGGGGCTGTTGGCCAGGAGGTGTTCCCTCGGCTGCATTGGTGGGGCTGCCTGGCCCCCCGTGTTCAGAGGGTTTTGGAGGACATATGCAGAGGGAGTAAGTGCTGGCCTCGGTCAGCCATGTCTGCCACAGACAGGTGTGGGGATTCAGCCCCTGGACCCTGATCTGAGCTTCATTTACTTGCTCTTTAAGTTCGGTATCTATGCATTTAAGACTTTCTTCTGCAGAAACTGCTCCAATGTAAAATAAAAGTTGAGAGAGGGGCAATGGCAAGAAGACAGATCCCATTCAGCTGGGGGAGGCCTGTGTGCTGGAAGATGGTTTCTGTTCTGTTTGATTATGAGCATTCTTTGCTTGCAACTGCACTGCATTCTGTGTGGTCTGACTCTGAGGGACTCACACTGGACCTGTGTGCTCAGCCCAGGCCTGCTGCCCTAAGCTCTGTCCCTGGAGCCTGAAAGAGTTGGGTCCAGCTAAGCAACCTCAGCCAAATCATTTCACCTCCCCAGGCCTCAGTTTCCTCCTCTGTAAAAGGAGGAGGGGGCTAAACAACCAATGGATCACAGAAGAAATCACATGAGAAGTTAGACAATGCTTAGAGACAAGTGAAAATGAAAACAACACACCCCAAATTATGAGACACAGGGAAAGCAGTGCTGAGGGGGAAATGTATAGCTGTAAATGCTTCCATTAAAAAACAAGAAAGATCTCAAATCGACAATCTAACTTTACAACTTAAGAAACTAGAAAAAGAACACATGACGAGAAAGAAAAAGAAAGAGAGAGAGATTACAGCAGAGATCAACAAAACAGAGGATCGAGAATAGAGAAAATCAATGAAAACAAAAGTTTGTTCCTTGAAAAGATAAAATTTGACCAACTTTTTGCCAGGTGGACTAAGAAAGAGAAAACTCAAATTATGACAATCAGAAATGAAAATGAGGTTATTATTACCAATTCTACAGAAATAAAAAGAATTATAAGATAGTAATAGGAACAATTGTAAGCCAATAAATCAGCTAATCTAGATGAAATGGATAAATCCCTAGAAACACAAAACCCACCAAGACTAAATCATGAAGAAACAGAAGATCTGAATAGACCTATAACTAGTGAAAAGATTGAGTCAGTATTCAAAAATCTCCCAACAAAGAAAAGGCCAGGACCTGATGGCTTCACTGGTGAATTCTACCAAACATTTAAAGAACTGACACCAATCCTCAAAGTTTTCCAAAAAATCAAAGAGGAAGGAACACTTCCTCACTCAGTCTATGAGGCCGGCATTACCCTGATACCACAGCCAAAGACACTACGGGAAAACTACAGACCATTATCCTGTAAGAATATTGAGGCAAAAATCCTCAACAAAATACTAACAAACAAATTCAGCAATTTGTTAAAAGGATGACACACATGACCAAGTGGGATTTGTTGCTAGAATGCAAGAATGGTTCAACATACAAATGTCAATTAATGTAATATACCACATTAACAGAATGAAGGGGGAAAAATGATCATCTCAACTGATGCAGAAAAGCATTTGACAAAATTCAACACCCTTTTATGATAAGAACACTCAACAAACTAGAAAGAGATATAAATCCATATATCTCAATATAAAATCCATATAAGAAAAACCCACAGCAAATATCATATTCAATGATGAAAAAGAAAAGCTTTTCCTCTAAGATCAGGAACAAGGCAAAGATGATCACTTTTGCACTTCTACTCAACGTTGCACTGGAAGTTATAGCCAGAATAATTAGGCAAGAAAAAATTACCAAGCATCCAAATTTGAAAGAAAGAAATAAAATTATCTCTGTTCTCAGATCTTATATGTAGAAATCCCTAAAGATTCCACACACACAAACACACACACACAAAAAAAAAAACCTGTGAGAACCAATAAATGAATTCAGCAAAGTAGCAGGATATGAAGGCAACACAAAAATCAGTTCCTTTTTTATACATTAATAATGAATAATCTAAAAAGGGAATTAAGAAAATACAGTCACCACTTGGTATCCACGTGGGATTGGTTCCAGGACAACCCTCAGATACCGAAATCCCCACATACTGAAGTCCTACAGTCAGCCCTGTGGAAACTCCAACCCCTAGATATGAAAAGTTGGCCCTCCGTATATGCGGGTTTCACATCGCAAGAATTGATCTGCATTTGACTGTGGATTCGGAACCCACCAATATGAAAGGCTGACTGTATTTATTGAAAAAAATTCACATATAAGTGGACCCACATAGTTTTAACCCATGTTCAAGAGTCAGCTATAATTCCATCTACAATAGCATTAAAAAGAATAAAATACTTAGGAATTAACCAATGAGGTGAAAGATTTGTGCAATGAAAACTACAAAACATTGCTGAAAGAAATTAAAGAAGACATAAACAAAGGAAACACATTCCACGTTCATGTATTAGAAGACTTCATGTTGGTAAGACGTCAGTATTACCCAAAGTGATCTACAGATTCAATGCAATATCTGTCAAAATCTCAATAATGCTTTTTACAGAAGTAGAAAAGATAAATTCTAAAATTCCTATGGAATCTCAGGGGACTCCAAACAGCCGAAACAATCCTGAAAAAGAACCAACAAGCTGGAGGACTCACACTTTCTGATTTCAAAACTTACTACAAAGCTACAGTGATCAAAACAGTGTGGTACTGGCACAAAAACAGACACAGAGACCAATGGAACAGAATAGAGAGTCGAGAAATGAACCCTCCCATATACGGTCAAATGATTTGACCAAGACCATTCAGTGGGGAAGGGACAGTCTTTTCAACAAATGTTGCAGGGAAAACTATGCAAAAGAATGAAGTTGGACTCTTTCCTACCACCACATACAAAAATTAATTCAAAATGGATCAAAGACCTAAAACTATAAAATTATTAGAAGTAAGCACAGGCAGAGGCTTCACAACATTGGATTTGGCAATGACTTCTGGGCTACAACACCAAAGGCACAGGCAGCAAAAGAAAAAATAAAGTTGGATTTCATGAAAATTAATTTTTTTGTGCACCAAAGGACACTATTATAACAGAGTAAAAAGGCCACTGACAGGATGGAAGAAAACCACAATATTTGCAAGTCACATATCTGATAAGGAATATCCAGAATACACAGAGAAGTCCTAAAACTCAACAACAATAAAGCCAAAAACCCAATTCAGAAATGAGCAAAGGACTTAAACAGACATTTCCCAGAAAAAGATATACAAATGGACAATAAGCACATGAAAAGATGCTGGACATCACCAATCATCAGGGAAGCACAAATCAAAACAACGAGATATGCCTCACGCCTATCAGGATGGCTACTACGAAGTTTTTAAAAAGAAAATAACAAGCACTGGTGAGGATGTGAAGAAACTGGAACTTTCTGCACTGTTGGTGGGAAGGTAAAATGGTGCAGCAGCTATGGAAAACAGGATTGCCATTTCCCAAAAAGCTAAAAATAGAACTACCAGCTGGGTGTGGTGGCTCACACCTGTCATCCCAGCACTTTGGGAGGCCAAGGCAGGCAGATCACAAGGTCAGGAGATCAAGACCGTCCTGGCTAACACAGTGAAACCCCTTCTCTAATAAAAATACAAAAATTAGAAACGGGTGTGGTGGCACGCGCCTGTAGTCCCAGCTACTCAGGAGGCTGAGGCAGGAGAATGGCTTGAACCCAGGAGGCAGAAGTTGCGGTGAGCCAAGATCACACCACTGCATTCCAGCCTGGGTGACAAAGCAAGACTCCAGCTCCAAAAAAAAAAAAAAAAATAGACCTACCATATGATCAAGCAATTCCACATCTGGGTCTACATCCAAAAGAAATGGAGGCAGGGTCTTTTAGAGACATTTGTACACCATGTTCATAGATGGCATCATTGTTCACAAGAGCTTGGATGTGGAAGGCACCAAGTGTCCACCGATGGATGGGTGGATAAGCCAAACATGTTCTATCCATACAATGGGGAATTATTCAGCCTTAAAAAGGAAGGGAATCCCGGTACACACTACAACATGGATGAACCTCAAGGACATTGTCCTCAGTGAAATAAGCAGCCACCACAAAGGGACAAACCCTGTGTGATTTCCTTATATGAGGTTCCTAGAGTCACTGAATCACAGAGACAGAAACCACAATGGTGGGTGCCTGGGATTGGGGGAGGGGAATGGAGCGGATTTAACGGGGACAGAGTTTCAGTTTGGGAAGATGAGCTAATTCTGGAAAGGGATACTGGTGACGGCCACACAACATGAGGAATGTATTTAATGCCACCACACTGTACACATAAAGATAATTAAGATAGTAAATGTTATGTTATGTATATTTAACCACAATAAAAACAAATTGGAAAAAGAGGATGGTGGGTGCTGCCCCTCCTGGGGATCAGAGGAGGCACCCCGGGGGATGTGCCAGGTGCTGCCTGGCCCCTGCCCTGCCTGTCTCCCCCGCCTGTCTCCCCCCACAGTGCTCCCATCAACCTTGAGTGAATGCAGGTGGGGCGGGAGAGATGCGGCTGAACAGTGGTTCCTCCAGCCTATAAACAGCCAGGACAAAAGGGACATCCCCTGTGATCTGCTGGCCACGGTCTTGGGTACCAGCCTGAGCTGTCGACTCAACAGGATGCAGGGCAGGGGCGGGAGGGTTCCACTCCCAGGCCCATGACAAGAGGCTGTCACAAGGGAG